TGCACCAGGTGTCCCCTTTCTCACGCCAGACACGCTTGACGCCTTGGTGGATGATGATCTGGGACCAGCACTACCCGCTCGTACAGTGCCGTTTGGTCCAGTGGTGGTGGGGCCCTTTGGTGTGCCTGGGCCCAGAGACGAATGTCTTGCCAGATTACTTGATGTTGTGGGTAGACTGCCCAGTCCAGAGATGGACCGCGGTCCTCTTTTGGGCGCGCCACTTCCCGGACCTGCCGAACTCTCTCGCGCTTGACGGTTGAGTATCATGCTTGCAGCAGGCGTCGCAGGGGCAGAGGACGCGTGCTGTTGAGATTGGGCGTTGCGAATCTGGGGGTTTCCTGCGCGCGCCGCAGTTGGACTCGAAGAGTTGACGATCGGGTTCAACGGTGCCGCGGTAATGGCTGCTCCCACAAGGTGACTAGCAGGATTGACAGATCGACCAGATGGTGCAGAGTGGTTCGCCGCGCTCGGCCGGATCAGAGAAGGGCATTCATCGGGGTCGTTGAAACCGGGCTCTGCGCGGTCATAAAGCATCTTGATATGTTGATCGAGGTTTCGTAAGTGCTTGTCCATAATGATCTGCAGCTTCTGCGTCAAGGCGATTTTCTCAGCGGCCAGCGTATCGGCACGACTGAAGTTATCACGCATCTGAGACCGCATAGTCTCCTCGCGAGGGTTTGCCTCGTGGCTGCCATTCGCCCGGATCCATTTCTGTATTTTTCCGTCGCGGTCCTCGATCAACTTGACGCAGTCATAGTACTGGCGGTCCCTGTCGGCGATTTCATCTTGTAGGAAGCGGATCTCTTCGGGGAGATTTTGGACGCGGTTGAGCCAGTCGTCGAGAATGATGGCCGGATCGAGGGCCTCGGCCGTCGGCATCCTTTTGACGAAGTCGATCGACAAATCGTCTCTAGGCATCTTTGTGTTAACGACGAGTTCCCCAAACACCCCGCGGCTGGGCAAGCAAGCGTTCGTTGACGGGTAGGGAACAAGCGGGCGACGAGACGGACGACGACGACAAGGTACTCGGCAAGGACCACAAAGAAGGAGTGGGAGCGGGGGTTTTTGTATGCGGCCAAGGCAGTGTTCTTGTTTGAGGACGAGGACGAGGGGACGAGATGGGTGCGTTGATAGCAGATCGGGGTGACGTGTACGGAGTGAGGAAGGCCTCGTGAACCAAGGTCATCGAAATAAAGAGGGACAACGAAAGGTAAGAGGGTATTGGAGCAAAGCAGAATAGAGGCAGAGGTGGGGAGAGCAGAGAGCTAGCGGCAGGTGGGAATAGTGGCACACAGAATGACGGGGGGCGGGGCGGCGCGGAACGTCCACCGTCGGGGGCTTCGGTGTGCTGACCGAAGAGGACGGAGCACCTGGTGATGGTATGCTTTGGCTGCACTTGCCCTGTAGAAGGCGATGACAGAAGAGCCTTGGACAGGAGAGACTTCGAGAAAAGAGACCCCGACCACGATCCTCCGCAACGAACGAAGTAACTAGCTTGGCTCACCTAACGAGTTTCAAGACGGATCGGCTGAAGGGAAGGTCGACAACAGCTCTCTCTCTCTCTCTCTCTCTCTCTCTCTCTCTGTCTTTCTGTCTTTCTGTCTGTTCAGCTGTGGTGGGCAAGGCGAGTCGAGACGACGGAAGGGCCCTTGCTCGTGATCCTGGAATGTTTTTTATTTTATTTTACGGAGCAATGAAAATGTCCCCTGCTGGATAAGGTGACCTGACGGGACGTGGTCTTTTTTTTTTTGTTCCTCAGGGACGCGAGAGTGGGGTGGAAAAGGCTGGAAACTGTGCAATGGTGGTCAGTTCAACTTGGGGTGGTTGCGTTGGGTTTGGCGGCGGGCAAGTTTGCGAGGCTCTAACAGAGTGGAGGGCCAGTGGACCACGCTCATCGGCGAGTCAAGCGGAGACGGGAGTTTTAGCCTCCGATTTTCAGGCCACGTCTGGGCTCCTGCACGCTGGGCTCAGGCACACCTAGATTCATCTGATTGGCTTTTCGGCTGTTTAATGTGGGTCGAAAAGTGCGACTGCTTTCGGTGCCTTCATCCAATTACTAAGGCGGGTGAAATCTAAAGAAGTCTCAATCTCAGATTCCCAGTCATTCCTCGCACTTTATCTGGAGTGGAAAGAAGAGAAGGGATGGATATGACAACGCAAAAGTGCGACATTCCTGGGGTTAGATCCGAGGCAAGTTATACTGTACATCCTGGCCTTGGAGGTTTGAATGGGCTAGAATGTACGGAGTATTGTACCTACTACGCCACATGAGGCCTGACTAGGTAGGTACCTAGTCGTGAGAACCGCGGTGGCTAGTTGCATCTACAGTCAGCCACACCTCTGGAAAACTCATTTAGTGCCCTGAAGTGGCCAAGCTACCTTGCAGCCACCAGCGGCATGCTTCCCGGGCGGCGCCTGTCGCATCTCATCCAATCGTGCAGCCAGCCTTTTGACGAAACCTCCCACATACATCTCGAATCAGCAACAGACGACTTCGCCTACACTTTTGAAAATCAGACCTTCGCCAATAACCCCATAGAAGATAAACGTAGCCCCTGCATGCGGCAAACCCGGTTTCGTTGCATACTAACGCGATTCGCGCCTCGCTGCCTCACCGCTGAGCAAGAGCAAAACTCATCTCACTTGGCCATCCAATAACCCCACCTTTCAACCTCACAATAGATCGAGGGCCTCAAGCTTTATCCCGGCCGCTCCGGCGGGACACCCGTCGCACATCATCATGGACACAGACGCATACCGCTTCCGGGTTCCCAAACCGAATTATTTACCACACAGATCCGACAAAGATGACATTGTTGAAGAATACGTCCCCCTGGGCCAGGCCAGCGATCTCGACAATGCCAAGTACTACGCCAAATGCAAGCGCATAGCCGAAGAAACGGGCATCACGCGGCCAAAGGGTTACAATGTCTCCTTCCACTGTAATCCCGAAATGGAAAAGCATCACTTCGGTCAGACCCATCCCATGAAGCCTTGGAGGCTCACCCTCTCGAAGAGTCTCATCTACTCCTACGGCATGTCCTTCGCTATGGACAACTACATCTCTCGAGCCGCCACATACGAAGAATTAAACGACTTTCACTCGGACGACTACCTGGACTTTTTGGGGACCGTTCTGCCGGAGCCTGTTCCGAGGGACGTCGATAACACGAATCCCGATCTCAAGTTCAACCTTGGCGGCTCCGACTGCCCTTTGTTCGAGGGTCTCTACGACTACTGCTCCATGTCAGCGGGCGGGTCTCTTGACGCCGCGAGAAAGATCTGCTCTAACCAATCCGACATTGCCGTATCATGGGGCGGCGGCTTGCACCACGCCAAGAAGGCCGAGGCATCTGGCTTCTGCTACATCAACGACATCGTCCTAGCCATTCTGCAGCTGTTGCGTTGCTTTCCCCGCGTACTCTACATCGACATAGATGTGCATCACGGAGACGGTGTAGAGGAGGCCTTTTACTCCACAGACCGCGTCATGACGGTCTCTTTCCATAAATACGACCCCCTCAACTTCTTCCCTGGCACCGGTGGTCTCGATGACAATGGTCCTAAGAACGAGCATAACCCGGGAGCGCACCATGCCATCAACGTTCCCCTAAACGACGGGGTTACCGATGATCAGTACAAATGGCTTTTCGAGAACGTCATCGGTAAATGCATGGAGAAGTTCCGACCCAGCGTCATTGCCTTGCAGTGCGGCGCTGATTCACTCGCCGGTGACCGTCTTGGACGCTTCAACCTTCAAGTTCAAGGCCATGGTGCATGTGTTGAATTCTGCAAATCGTTTGGCGTGCCCATGATTCTTTTCGGTGGCGGCGGATACACACCTAGGAACGTGGCTCGCGCCTGGGCGTTCGAGACGAGTATAGCTATTGGCTGCCAGGACAAGATTGACCCCATTATTCCTGTACACGCCCCGTGGAGAGAACAGTTCAGATACGAGGAGTTGTTTCCGACATTGGAGCAGATTCTTGGAGAGCCCCGTGTGAATAGGAACACGCGAAAGCGCCTCGATGACGTGCTCCAACATGTGGTAGAACAGCTAAGATTCGTCCAAGCAGCCCCTAGCGTTCAATACCAGGTCATTCCGCCCGACCTGGGCGGTCTTAGGGACGATGTTGAGGCCAAGCTCAAGGAACAGCGCGAGGCCGAGAACGACGCTGTCCGGAAACAGCGCGAGGAAGCCGCCGGACATGCTATGGAGTATTGATGGGTGGGATGGCTCTTCTGGAGAACCACTGGTGTGCTCGGCTATCAAGATCAAGATCGGCGTTCATGGAGTAGAAACGGTACCGGAGGTCTGGTCATTCAGAAAAGAATCATCATGTTCGGAGTATACAACTCTGGCGACCTGAAAACAACAGTGACTACCAACTGACCGCAGAAGGGAGTGCATGTCCACCGCTCTGCGAATGAATACGTAATACCTCCTCACACGATCGACTTGGAGACGGCCAAGCTCCCGCGATGTTACCTTTCGCATGGCCGACTTCCTTCCTGTGATTGCTGCGAGACGAATGCAAGGGAGGGGGACGACATTGTTGCGGTATGACTATCAGAAGAAGAGGCGCATCTAATTTGACGTTAACCGGCTGCCTAGAATGCCGTACCCACTATCTTCGGCTACAGGGCCCCTTCGTAAGCCAGGCTAAAACCCCCCAATTGACCCAGTGAGGACCGCCAAGATGGCAAACGCCACTAAGCTTATTAACAAATATCGAATCATAAACGGCCAGCATGTTCGGACAAAAGCTATATCATGTATGACGGTGTTCGCGTTGGGCAGGGCAGATTCAGATGCGGTCCGATACCAAAGTGGCTTAGGACATTCAGCAAGACAAGGAAATGGGATCGAGACGAGGGCGATGTCGCCGTAACGTTGAGCCGGTTGTGGTGTACCCATAGACGCGCATTTGACGACTAGTGATGAACGACAATGGAGTATATAACCCTGTCCCTCTGTACCTGGATCACTACTGTCTCCCTTTTCCTGCAGGAGTGGTGCCACTTTCCTATGTAGCTACATCCCGCGCTGTGCTAGAATGAACCCCGGATGCCCATCCAAGCCAACTAGTGCATATAAAGATATTCGCCGTCCCCGGCCTCGTGAGTACATCTAGGTGTCTGAGAAAAAACGCAAGGTCTCCCGGTTCTGGATCACGGGCTGGTCCTCCATCAACGCAATACATAGATGAACATTTCATGGCTCGCCCTCTTGGCTCTGGTCCCGGCCGGCATCCTTGGCCTCATGACGCCCGGCGGCCTCGCCCGCCGCGCCGTGGACTGGAGCCAATGGAAGCCCGGCGTGAGCTTCCAGATCGTCCTTCACCACCCTATCACGGCCGAGTCGGTAGCAGACGTTGTCCCCGCCGAGGCCACAGTCTGGGACATTGACCTGCAACACGCAGCGGACTACGGCAACATCATTCCCGCCCTCAAGGTCAGTTTGGATCCTTGGAAAATCGCTTACCCATGTTTCCTTGTCCCCCCTATTCTTCGGCACGGTTACTGATACCAGAGACAGTCAGCCGGCAAGATAGTAATCTGCTATTTCAACGGCGGCGCCGTCCAAGACTGGGACGAAGACCTCGACGCATTCCCCGCCGACGTCATCGGCTCGTCCCTCAACCCGCCTTATACAGACGAGCGCTACCTCGACATCCGGGACGCCCGCGTCGTGGATCTCATGAAGCAACGCCTTGAGCGGGCTGCCGACATTGGCTGCGACGGCGTGGACCCGGACAACATTGACGCCTGGGCAGAGGTGAGCCCTCTTTCGTGTTCCTATTTCTTTTCCCTCGGCTGAGACAGGTTAACGAAACAACCATAAAGGACGGTGATGACCCGACTGGCTTCGGCCTCGCGCCCTCGGACTACGCGACCTACATAATCTCACTCGCCGCCCACGCACACACGCTCACAACGGCTTCCTCCCGGCCCCTTCTCCTGGGCCAGAAGAATGCGCCTGCGATTGCGCCCGAACTTTCCTCCGTCGTCGACTTCGCCGTACTAGAGACGTGCCTCGGCACCCGGACCACGGACGAAGTGGAGCCCTTTTGCGCGGACTTCCGGCCATACGTTGAGGCCGGGAAGCCGGTCTTCCAGATCGAGTACCCGACGAGCGTCCGGGACGACGCAGAGATCGACCAGGAGGACTACAGCTATTTCTGCGTGAACAAGAACGGTAACGAGGGGTTCAGCGAGGTATTGAAGCACGCGAGCGAGCAGATCGATGGATGGGGTCAGTTCTGTGGACTGGGCATGACCGGGGGCATATTCGAAACGCCAACCGTTGACGAAGATGAGGAATGAATGAGTGGGCGAGGCTCGCGAAGTCAACAATTGGTTGTTGGAGCAATCAGGGGTCGCCAAATTGACGTCTAAAAGGAGCTTCTTCTGAAGCGCAAAAGGATGGGGGGTAATTAAAGTTCCTGTATTTTACTATTCCCATGACACAGTGCATAACCTGTGTCAAATTATAATATCCAGAAGCGACCAAGGTTGCAACACACTATGCAGGGCACGCGATGCAAGTGACAGCAGCAATACAGATAGTTGTTAGCCTGGGAGGAAGACCTCCCAAGCCCCAAAACCACGCAACAGAGGCCTTCTCGGGCGGTCTCAGTTGTGGAGCCTGGCGACGGCCTCAGCCTCCTGCTCCAGCATCTTGGACTTCAGCCTCCGGGCCTTGACCGCCACGTACCCGACTAGCATGACGCCGACGGCGAAGCCGGCCGAGAGCAGAATGACGTTGACCGGCACGGGGTCGCCGCCGAACGTCTGGTGAAACAAGACGTCGAGCCCGGACTGCAGAAAGTTGAACAGGCCCGACAGGCAGATGATGGTGCCGTACACGGTACCAAAGGTCTCGAAGCCGAACACCTTGGCACTGTAGTCGGACACGGCGGTGTAATAGAAGGGGCGGTACAGCACAAAGAGGCAGATCTGGATATACGCCGCCCACGTGTTGTTTATGACGCCCAAGACGCCAATGGTGGTCGCGGTGGTGACGAGGGCGGCGAGCACGGTGACAGTACTGGTGTGGTCTAGGAGCACGCCGATAAAAGGGATGGAGAGGATGCCCCCCACCGGAAGGGCGACGTCGAAGAAGTCGTTGATCTCGACGGCCTTGTCGTGGTCGCCAAAGATGGCCTCGTACTGGGCGCGGACGGTAGCGACGAAGTAGTTGATGCGGAGCATCTGGATGACGGTGAACATGCAAATGAGTATGAACCACGGCGAGGCGATCTGCTGCAAGGCAGTGCGGTTGTGCATCACGCCCCAGACACCCGACGTCTCATTGTTCTTCTCTTCTTCCCTGCGGTTCTGCTTGTCCGCCCTTTGGGTGCCCAGAAGCTGCTCGATGTCGGCGACGACGGTCTCGCGCTGGCGGCGTTCCTCCTGAAGGAGCGCCGTGTTCTCGTCGACCTGGTCGTCGTACAGCGCCCGATCGGCGTCGTTCACCGCGGCGGTCTCCTCCTGGAGCTCGACTAGCTCTCCCACAGTCTTGTACGACTGCTTAGGCATCAGCACAAACTGGGCGACGACTATGAAGAGCGGAACGACCAGGTAGACTTTGAAGAACTTTTCGTGGCCAAAGGTCCCCTCGGTCGCCTGGTAGACGAGGCGGTAGACCAGGAACAGCGCGCTGGAGGCGTCGAAGGCTCCCGTCAGGAGGGCGAGGATGAGCCCAGAGTGCTTGGGGAAAGCGTTAGACAGCTGGAAGGACGAGATATAGGTGAAGGGGCCGCCGAGAGCGAGCGCAAGATACCCGATGAGGAAACCGTCGAATGGCAGACTCTTGGCATATGCCATGAGGAGCGAGCCTACGGCCAGCAAGAAGCCGCCCACGATTCCGCAAACGCGAGGTCCTGTATGGTCAAGCAGGGCACCGACAGGCAGAGCAGCGATGTTGGTGCCGACGGCCGCTACGGTGAACATCAAGTTGAGATGGATCTCAACGCATGTATCGTCGGGAGCCGTGTTGGGATCGTCGGCGGAGCAGATATCACCGTAGGCACCTTCACGTTTAAGAACCGGCTTCAGTGCCGCGAAGCCGAAAGCAACACCAGCCGCGAAGAGGCAGTAGAATACCGCGACCACGACTTGAACTAAAAGCGCGGCGTTAGCGATTCCATGCGTGGGTCTCAAGAGCAAGTCATCGATCAAATCGTCCAGCAACCAACGGCCGGCGATCGTAGGACAACATACGAATTCTCTTCCATTGCGGAACTTCAAAGGCACCGACTGCAAGTACAGTATCGGGCTTGTTCGCCGCGGGATACCACTCGTCGGGTAGAGGGTTGAAGGTTAGCCTTCCAGCCCGTACGCTCGACGCATCGCTGCCTCGTCTCGAGCCCTGCGCTTGAGGAACGAACTGGAACGTCTCGACCGATGCTACGCGGTTCAGCGACATGGCGGTGCTTTTTGAGACGGATGAGCGGCCGTAGAAACTTGGGGCAACCCTGAAAAGGGGTAACGATTGTTGGTGATGGCAAAAGCCTTGCCTGAAATGAAGCTGTCTAGGAGCCGGCTCTTCACCAACGTCGGCTTGGGTCTATGAGACAGGGAGACGGAGCTGAGTTGAAAATGACTAGCGGAAAGGCCTCTGACTCGATAATGGCACCCCGTTAACAGAAGTTGGCGAACTTGTTATTCGATGGGATATGAGGCAAGACGGGTAATGCTGTCAAGTTGAGGTTTCTCTATATACCAATCGGGAGCGAAACTCGCTTGAACTGCATGAAGATAACGCTTGTTTTTTTTTTACCTGCCGTGTCCAACTTGAGCCGCCGGATGAACCACGCAGGAGGGGGATCAAGGTCAACTCAAGAAATGCAGAGGAAACAGCAGGGATCTCGCAGTTGTAGCCGACGGGGGGTATCGTCGGGGCGGGCAAACGAGAATGGGTGACAGACTCGGACAAAATTCCACCTGCGCAAGAAAACGTAGGGTCGGTGTTCCAACTAGAGGGAATATTAGGTAGAAGAACAATCAAGTGGCAATGCGAAGAAGTGGCGGGTCGGCTGGGGGTTCAGAGTCTGCTTAAGAGGGAAACGGAGATGGGTGCAGGCCGATGATTGCTTGTTGAACTCGATATGAGAAAGAGGAAATAGGTAAAAGAATAACGTTGGAAGAGAACCTGTCAAGGGTTTTACTACCAATGACAGGGAAGAAGCCGGCCAGACCGGACCACACCTAAGGTGTCATCGGCGAAGACATTTGCTACAAATGCCCTGTCGCATCTCGTGGTTGTTTTCTTCAATTTTTTTTCTTCCACTATGACCTATCTTGCACTTCACCCCGCCTTTAGCCTGCTTGACTGGGCCGGGCCCGGCCTGGCCCGGACTTGGCCTGCCATACCCCCTCGCACGCTGGTGGAGGTAGCGGTCCTTCCGATCCGAACAAAAGGCTGGAAAGATGGGACGGGATCTGCGATTCGCGGATGAATGAACGAAGAACGGATGAAGGAATATAACAGTCATGTGGCCCGTTTTCCTTGGGACACACATGCACATGACTGACCCCAACCCAACGCGGCATACCGCGAAACTGCAAGAGCGCATCCATTATGCTCTGGAAGGGGTGCACGGGAGTAGTGGTAAGACATCTTACATGGAGTAGCCGTTTCTGAGCGATGGCGAAGAAATCGCAGATCGAACGTCACCCGTCACTCCGGCGAGGGAGGTGAGGCGAAATAAATCTCAGCAGCAGCAGCCGCCGCCACCGCCGGATGCCGAATAGAAGACCAGGGGGAGGAAAGCTTTTTTCTCGTTGCTCCTAAACCAGGCGCGTCGTTCCCCGCCGAACTCAGCGGAACTATGACTGCAAGAAGGCGCGGGTTGGAGACGAAGGGAAGTCAAGATGGCGCGCACAAGAGAGACATTTCCAATGAAACCGGCGCGGGAGAGCGGATACAGCGCCTCTGCTACTCCACACATTAGCCCGGTGCCATCAACCCCCCATTGGTTCCCGCTCTTCATCCGTTTCCCCACTACGGATAAGGTACCTTGACTTCCACCTTGATTGACGCTCGACATCGTCAAGTAGGACGCCTCCACCCGCATTCTGTTACATAATTCTGCTTACCGAGGTAGTGTAGGAAACCTTTTTTTATCAACGCCATCTCGCGACATTGCCCAACCTCGCTCTACCCAGCGGGAATAGGCATCACTTGTAGTGGGGCCATGCCAATCGAGAGCTGTTTTGCCTGTTGCCTGCGTGCGTCGATGGGGACCGCGTGACCCGGCCGAGGCAGATGAACTATCTATCCCACAAGACACAACGCGATGCAAAATAACTCTCTAAACACCTGTTCTTACACTGCACCTGTCTGAATTTTGACACCGACCCGTGTCTTTGCGCATGCATCAGCAACAAACCCATGCGGGGAGCACTGATGGATGTTGGCCTCCGGCCCGATCGGCGTCGGCGGGTTGCGGTTTGCAACGGCTGCTGACCGGCGGCGTCCGCCTCGTCACACCCCTGAGAGATCCAACCTCGACCTTGGATTAGCTAGCACTTTACCCGCTCCACACTCCACATAGCGCTCCAACTCGATACGATGCCACGCTGACTAAGTAGGTTGATCGTGAGCAATGAATTAAAGAACTAACGTTGTGTCGGCAAGCAATACACAAAGCGGTTTATAAGGGTACCCCCAACGCCCGCGGGCTTCGCTCAACCATTGTGAGGCCCCCCAACCCCCGCAACGACAGTGAAAGCACAATGGCAGACAAACAGCGATAGACAAAGGAAAAGATGCGTCAAGGTGACAATGTGCCGGCGAGGGCTGCCGTTCAAACTCCGCCCTTCCCCAATCTCCCATTCTTGTGCAAACTACCCGAGTCGAGTATTCATCTCTAACATCCTATCAAGTTCGTTGTTTCCCCTCGGCGCAAGTCGGTGCCTCCCCGCGTAAGAAAACGCCTCATGATCGTAAGGCGGTCGTCGCAGATCGTGGCTCGAGCTAACAAGGGCCGAGTCTCGCCGATAGAAAGGAGATGTCTGTTCCGGCTCGTTGCGAATCCAAGGTAGTTCCGATAGCAGCCCTCGGGCTGCTGTAGCCTTCAGCTGTTGACCCCCTTTTCCATCAATCGCTCCAACTTTTCCTCTCCAAAAGTCTCTACGGTTCGAATGGTATGCACACAAATTAGAAAAAGGCCATCGCAGATCGTGAGCGGAAGTCAATCAGTCGGCCGATGGCAACCATGTCATGCTGATCCGTCGAAATTCTAGAGGTATTCACGAGAAACAAAAGCCAAAAGTCCACCCCAATTGTCGTCTGGTTGTGGGATTTTATTTGAAGAATCGGATGACAGCCTTTCCATTGCCGGAAATGGCCGTCTGTAGCATGAACATTAGTACAGCATACAGGTGTACACGGTGCAGGAGTGTCAACTTACAGTGCAGCCAGTGCCACCTCCAGTGTAAGCGCCGTCAATGAGCGCGCACTTGCTGTTAACATCGCCGATGACCTCAACGTTGAAATCGAGCTTGGCGACCGAGGTGGGTGCGTTGTTGAAGATGGAGATGTACGTGTTACCGTCGGAGCTCTTGCCGGTACCAACGTTGATGGGCGCCCAGTTACCAGCGCCAAGAGGGTCAATAGGGCTCTTCCAAAGACAGCAGTCCTCGGCGCTGTAGCCGGCCTTGTTGACATAGTACTGGGCGGTGGTAGGGCTGCCGTCCCAGACGTAGTAGTCGGAAGAGAGCGGGTTGGTCAGTTCCAACGACTGACCAGGCTGAGGAACGGTGGCGATGACCATGGACTCGGTACCGGGGTAGTCGGTACGGCAAACACTGACCTGCTGGTCGAGGTCGTTCTGGACAGTGACACCGCCGGCGCCCTGTTCGCAGAGTGTCTTCTTTTCAGGTCGGGTGAGCTCCAGGAAACCGTTGCTGTTGCAGTAGATTCCACCGATGGACTGCTTGGTCGCACCCTGGGCGGAAGGCCACTGGGTCTTTTGGTAGCCGACAGGGCAAGAGTACGAGCAGAATGACTTCTTAAAGCATGAAGAATCGCCCGAGATGGCGGTTTCGATGAAAGAGATGACCGCATCGCCAAGGTTGTAGTCGGGAGTTTTCTGGATGCCAGTCCAGCCGCCGGTACCGAGATATTCAACGGGCACCGCACCGTAGTCGGATGGGAAATGGGAACAAGGAATCTTGCCACTGGGGAACTCGGAGTTGACACCGCCGCCACTGGAACCTCCGCTTGGGGACGCGGTGGAGGCGGGAGCTGCCTTGCTCGAAGGAGAGGGCGTCGGGGTCGGGGTCGGGGTCGGGGTCGGAGTCGGCGAGGGGGTGGAATTCTGAACCTTTGCCTCCAAGAACTGGGCATCCTTCGAAGGCTGGGGGGACTTGGAGGTCGAAGCAGGAGGGAGAGGGCTCGAGCTGGGGGTGGTCTCGCCAACGACGACGTACAGACCGTCTTGAATACCCTTCTTCGCCTCCTCTTCACTGATGAGCTTTCCTCCAAGCTCGTAGGTGGTCACGGTAGGGCCGTTCTCGTACACAACGACGACGTCTCGCTTATCAATAGGCGAAGCGGCATTCCTCTTGACGTGGTGGTGACGGTGGTTGTGGGGTTGGGCGACAACACCGGCGGCAAGGGAAGCCGCGATTGCAATACTGGTGATGGACCTCATCTTGTTTGTTATATATGTTCTGAGAACATGTCAGCGCACTTAATCGCAAGGAGCAGAAGATGACATTTGGGAACGGAGCGAGTGCGACGTGACAAGATGCGAAGGGCGCCATGGCATTGGCACATGAATCGAGGCGGGAGAGGTTGTGTTGTTTAGCACTACGTTTCGCATCTTTCCACTCGACAAATCGTGTTCCGCGGTTTGCGTCGCGCGCTCGATTGGAAGAGGGGCCTCTGGCGTAACTCACCCTTATTCTCGCGAGGGATCAAATTGCAGTCGAAAATTGTTCGATGTGTCCGATTAGGCTTGTCGTTGAGAAAGGGATCGAAACGGAACCCGTGTAGTAGGTGGTGGTAGGATAACGAATGAATGTTGACTCGGATTCAAAGGAGTGTAAGTGAGAGCGAACTCTCTAGTTGGAAGAATCAACACGATGAACGAGAGTGAAGAGCTCAATAACCAGGAGAGAGTGAGAGTGAAAAGAGGGAGAAGGGGAGAGTAAAGTGGAGGAAAACAGGGTAAAGAAGCCATGTCGTGGGACCCCCCTGGGAAATTAGGTAGGCAGGGAAGGCCAGGGATGACAGGTACCAGGCCATACAAGCCACCCGGGGGGGGGGGGGCTCCCCAAAGTCCAAGACCAGTGGCCATACTCCGTACCCCAGTGTGCCCAGGCACTACCTACCTGTTAAACTACCAGAAAGAAGGCGATCCGCTGCAGGTACGGCGGCCAGGGCTGGCAACGCTCGCGAGGGCACTGCCTCGTGCGCCGTCGCTGTGCAGGAGGTAGGCGCGCATCCCCGAAAGGGGAAGGAAAGGGGGTTATCTCCCAAAGGGGGACTAGCGCATTATTGAAATTGGTGGTTCCTGGCTCCAGTTATTTATTTGCGTTGACATGCACGCGCAGGGCAACGAGGATGGGTCCACGTCGCCTACACTACATACGCAGTAGTAGTAGGTAGGTTCCTAGCTATCGAGCCAGCGCACCCTCTAGCAACCATGTACGAATACATACAAAGGTAGGCGGGTAGTACTGGTATTGTGGTACTCGCAATCTCTCACATTTGTGTTGTTGCCCATGGGATCCTGGGACCACTTAAGTTAAGGTGCACACAACGTGAAGCCTGGACCAGGGGAGGAGAGCAGGCTTGGAAGACGTACCTGTAAACCCCCTCATTGTTCTATGCACCGTGGGTCGTACGAGGAAACTTGACCGGGGGGTTGGGTGGTGGCCCTTCCAGTTCGGAGAGAACAGACTGAAGCGTTGGCAGCCGTTGCATTGCATTGCATTGCGCTACGCCGCTGAGTTGCGCCGCGTTGCGTTGCAGTAGCAGTGGCAGTAACAGTGACAATGGCGACTCTTCTTCACTGTTCGTAAACTACCCAAGTACCAGTTAGTTGTTGCTCCGTGCAACTTGCACCTCGAATTGTGCTCTGTTTCCCGGGAATAAGATTGGTGTGCAAGGCTTTCCCAGGGACCTTCCCGTCTTACTGCGTGCCGTTGCCGCTACTGCATGCTCCCACCGATGTCATCCGATCCTCTTCTGGCTCAGCTTCTCCGAAGTTCATCCAATGTCGTATAAGTATACATGTGTGAAGAATGGAAAGGGCAAAAATAAATACAAGGCGTCACCCATATACGATAACAGCGATTAACGTCCGTTACCGTCAAACCCGCTATCGCGTGCCGGGACATCCGCCTACTACACTACACCATTGTCAACCCCTTTCTCTGACCCCATTATGTACGAAGTATGCATGTTTTGTTCCCTGCCTCTAGCGGCACGCGGGCTGCTCCCAAGGGATATGTCGTTCAACGGTGAAGAGGCAGGTGCATATAAGCGCGGTCGACCGAATGACGATCACCATCCATTGCCATTGAATCGAGTCCGACTGGCAACTGGATTCCTCAGAACCCCTGCCTCTATACAATTCAGCCTGAGCCCAGCCTCCCGCCGTGTCCTACATACCTAGGAGGTCATATCAAGGTCCCTTCCTCGACCTTCCGCACTCGAACCAGCCTCCCTTGGCACAATCAAATAACCCTGCTTAGGGAAACCAATCCCTGCTTGCGCGAACCACGGGCTGGCTTTTGACAGCTTTGCTCAATTTCCATGCTCCTCACTTGGCGATGTTCTGTCCGGTGCCTTTACCCAATGAGCACATGAATCCACAAGTTTAATCCCCCGAGTCCAGGCTCATCTCCTTGGTGCTTGCTTGGCTGACAATCGTTTTGTCGCCAGCCGCCGCTAATGCTCATGGTCACCTCACATCTTGATTCGCTAAAGAGGAGCAATACCCGATAGCGCCCCCAACGGCTAGCCTTCCTGTTCGAGCAACCACGGATCCCTTTGATATGGTACCCTTTCCTATAACGACTCATACAACCGTACCTTACGGAGTACTCGGTTTGATTTCCGTTTCCCACAATGGCTCTACCGCATCGCGTTAGGCGCTAAGCTGAGCAACACGCACTCAATCGAACTTGGGCTCCCGGCCGACGTTACTGTCGGCAGTGGCGGCCATAGTCAGGCACACCGCACACACCCCATTGTCCACCGTCAGGAGAGGCTTTCGAGAACGCGAGCGCCGTTGACCAGGCTTGAAGAACAGATCCGCGATGAACCTTCATTCTGCACGCACACTTCAACGCCATCCGTACACTTCAACGCCATCTGGTCTGGAGAATCCTGACGTGGTTTGATGCTGGGGCAGCTAGCTGTTAATGGATCTCAAGTCTCATGGTGGCGCTTGCTTCACCGCGGCAAACCCTTGGAGATCGCTGGTTGCAAAAGATGCAATTAAAAACAACCCCACGTGTTGTTGCCAACTCTCGTCAGCCCCTGCTCCAGCTCCAGCTCCAGCTTCTTCCATGAATCGGCGAGTGACTCCAACGACAAATCTTAATCATGATTGCGATGGTGTCAGCCAGCCAAATCGCTCAGTGGTGCTGTCTCCCCCAGCCTGCTCCGAAATAAGGGGGTGGGGGGAAGGAGGTATCGCCAGGCTTTCGCTCATTTCGCCTAGAGAGTACCCAGAACGCCGTTTCCCAGAACGCCGCGGCCTACGAGCAAGCCACAAAATACCCGCACTCATTCGATCAACAACATCGGAAGCCACAATAATGAGTCGGGCTGTGCTCTCAGCGACGGGATGCATTGTGCTCAACTGCTACCTATCGGGAAGTGAGCACTGCAGAACGACAAAGCCAACGGGTTCGGTCGCGTTGCCCGCCACCCGGCATCCATCTAAATAATAGCCAGAACGGCGTCCTGACCCATCGTTCCTCGTCCACATAATGATCGCCAAGGCGAAGGAAACAATCAAGCATGGGGTGCCTGACCAAGCTTCAATCATCACCCGTGCGCCGAGACGCTGAGTACTAGAAAGTCCAGAGTCAGGATGCAGAACCCTTTTTGCCGTTAGATGCCACCCACCTACGTATCCTGGCAGTGCCGTTTTCCCTCGTCTCATTTCGGCCATGACGTCCGCAAATCCACACCCCAATTTCGGAAGATACGATCGATCTGCGCTAAGGCGAAAAGCAAAGGTCGCAGCCACTACTGCCTTTCCACCTGAAACATTGAAACATCGACAACTCTTCTGGGGGGTCCTGGCCTGCACGGCTTTTCGTTCTCGACAGTCACGACACCAAGCAGGGACCTTCCAGAGGTCTGTGGCTGACAGAGAGGGAAAGAGTCATGCTGCGAGCCCTGCGCCACCCCCCCCCCTCCTTTTCTCATCGGCTTGAAAGTGCTGCTTATCGATCGACCTTGCGTCTGGCTGGCGTAAGATTTCGGCCACGGCGACAATGCTCTCTCTATGCAATCCGGCCTCCCCACTTCGCGTCAAAGGTGATCGATCGCTCAACGGTTGGTTGGGGTTTGCGCCGTGAAGCATGTCTCCAACTTCTCGAACCCAGCAGGAACCCCCCACGTCGGAACTTGGGTGATCTTGAACCTAAGTCGGACCTTCACTCTTGTTTTCCCAGAGCAACCGGTGTGCCGCCCCTTTTCGCGAGTCGGAAACATTCCTGCGGCGCGCCAGGCCCATACCAGCGGGATGACCCACTATGCGCTTGGCCGCCTGGGCCAGAAATAATCGTGCCCGACTGTCTAGAGCCTTGCGGGACTGGACCACCATTGTTTTGACTAAAGACATTACGCAGAAACAGGAGGCGGTCTTCATGACAAGGGATGGCTTTCGCGGTATTGCGTGCCAGTTCCTGTTTCACGAGCGTCCTTCACGAGCGCTGAGCTACCCACCTATCGGGCTTCTAATGTTGGGTCCCGCATGAAATAGTACACTACTCAATGTAACCCATCGATGCTACCGTGGATAAAGTCTATCCCTCTACGAGTCCTCTCAGGTGCAGTCCGGGATTGTGAATAGCACCACTGGGACATTTCAGTGAATTCTGCATACGGCCGCTCGCAGTCAATGCCGGTTGTGGCTGACCTGTGCAAGTACGTTATATATATATATATATATATATGACGGGCAAGCTGTTGGCTTCGTCGCAGTTGCAGCAAACCCCGACGAGGGGGGAATCGCTCTCCCACAACAACAAAAGGACATCTGCCTTTCTTGACTGGCAACAATGATGTATGGCATCGTATGATCGACTTCCCCTCGCTGTATGAGGGGAAACGTTACGATTGTGATTCAGGAGAGGGGGGGCGGTGAGTTCTCCCTTTGACCCTTCGGAGGAACGTCCCATCCCTCGATGCAGGTTCAACGGGGAAAGGTGCGTCTGTCTGGCGCAATCAACGCATATGCACAGGTCCATCCAGGAGATAAACTCTCCGTGTCGTGTTAAGGCATGTATGGCCCTTAGGTATCCCTCGAAGCACCTCGAAACCTGCACTGCCGACAGCCAGTTCTGGGCGGGCTTATCTCTCAAATAACTGAGGGATCAGGCAGTACCAGGATGAGCCGCGGTGCGTCTTGTGGGAAGCTGACGAGACAACTCGGACAAGCAGACACGAACCAAGTAGCACCGACGTCATGTCCATCAACGCCTTCTCCAGCCGGTCTATAAAGTCAGGAAAAACTCTACTATTCTCGCCTCCTACAAAGGAAGACCGACAGTCATGGGGCTGACATTTCTGCAACGACCGCTATAATACAATAAGAGGGAAACGACCCGGTAACTTGATCCTCCAGAAAACTACCAGAAGAGAAATGTCCGTCGTGTCGGCCTTTGGGCGTGCCCCGCGGTGTGACAAAGGCCCCAAGTTCCTACTACGTACGGATGAGGCCATGTATGACTCTCAAGTCAGAAACTTTTTTTTCCGTGTCGAGGCCCACCGTCGCACACCTACCAGTGTCCCCGAAAAAACGCCTCCCCCCGGGACGGGATGTCCTGCAAATAATGAGATAGAGAGGCAGAAGGATCGGTGAGATCAAAAGAGAGATGAGAAATCAAGACCGCCGACAATGAGTGAAAACGCCAATTCGTCCTCCTGCCGCGGCATGAGGTTCCTCTTTCCGCCTTGCTCCCCACCAGAAACATTTCGTCGTTGTTACATAGGTGATAGGTTGCGCAGATGGCTGGGAAGTGCCGTCATCTGTACCTGCGTGTACTGCTTCATGCTTTGACTTCTGTCGTTTCGGCGTCGCGGGCCTCGAGCTGTTTCTTCAACCCAGTGACTTCACTGGTGAGCAGTCCGATTTGTGCCTGCTTCGCGCTTTCCGCTTTCTCAAATGCCGTGACCTTGTCAGATAGCTGCTTGACCTTGTCCTCGAGGCTCTGGATGTACGCCCAAACACCGGGGTCAGTAGCAAACATGTTGCCACCGTTTTCGGCCCCACTCACGGGTTGCGTTCCGCTTGAGCCACGGTTGTGAGCGACGGCAGTCAGGGCTGCACCAGCTTGTGTTGTAGGAGCAGCAAAAGCTATAAATCGATATTAGCATGGATTCAAACAAAACAGTAGCAAGCAATCTGCTGAGGTGGCATAACAACCTGGCGAAGTGTGTCTGTCTGAAGGCCTACGGCCATAGTGTTGCTGCTGGAACTGCTGGGTGAGGCTTGGCGAGCGCTGTCTCGCAATGTTGTTTGTGTCGTGTCCAGGGCTCAGGGGCTTTGGACTTTCTGTCATGCCACTTTGCGAGTAGACAGAAGCGCCGCTCACGGGCACCGAAGACACGCTTGTGTTGGGCGTGTGAGCTCCAGCAATGCTGTTGGGCATGCTCGGAGACGTGTTTGAACTAGCCACGCCTCGATCCACGTTCGGCGGGTAGAGCCCGCCTGTTCCAGGTCTAGGGCCTGCAGGCGGGTACGTCCTGGAATGGGCATTGTATCCGTCGATGCTGCCTTGTCCACCCGCGACATGCTGAGCCTTGATGCTCGGCAGGCTCAGACGTCTCTCCTCTTCTGTCATATCTTCCTCGTTCCCATAAACTATGCCGGCCATGGAGTCATCGCCGTCGTGCATGCTCGTGCCATCCATATCATCCGTCTCGGCAAAGCTACCCATGCTAGACCGGCGGCCGGCACAACCACCAGCACCTTTGCTGTGTCGGGCCAGCGCATCGCCCCTAGCAAATTTACGATCGCACTTGGGGCACACATGAGGCTTCTCACCGGTGTGGAGTTTGCTGTGGCGTTTCAAGTCATGAAGGCGCCGGAATCGCATATTGCACTCTTGGCATATGTATGGCTTCTCCTGGCTATGCGTGAGCAGATGGCTCTTGAGATTGTGATGACGCGTGAACTCGGTCTCGCAGAACGGGCATTTGTGCTTCTTGCCCGACTGTGTAGGGGAATCGTGCCCTGGGGACGGCATGGGGAAGCTCATGCCGCGTGCTGGGGGTGCGGGCATCATAGTAGCGGCTTGAAGCGATCCTGGGTATGACAGTGATCCGGGCGTGTTCTTGTCGTCATGAACCGGAGTCGGGTGCGGCGGCTGATGCTGGGGCTGATGCTCCGACTGATGCTCAGATTGATGGTCATGCTGGAGCTCTGGCTGGTGCTCAACTTGGTTCTCGGGTTGATGCTGGAGCTGGGCCTGGGGCTGTTGTTGTGACTGCTGCTGCTGTTGTTGCTGATTTTGCTCGTTGCTCTTGGAATCAACATCCATTGGGCCCGGGCTAGTCGTCATAAGGGCGCTTGCTATGCTGGCCGAGTTCGTCACGCCCTGGGGGCCGGCTTCCGAAGCTTCCGCCGGCGCATTGCTGGGCTGTGGCAATGCCACAGCCTCCGGCGCCTTTGTAGAGGCTTCCATGGAAGCCGTGGGAGCTTGTGGCGCGTCGTCGGCTCGACTCATGGCAGCAACACTGCCGGCAAGGACAGAAAGAACAGAATGGCCGGGGTTGTCGCTTGACGCAGGCGGGTTCAGGCGCTGTTCGCGCTTGCGCTCTTCTTCGAGATGCTCGAGGGCGGCCGCAGCTGTCAAGGGCGTCGGCGAGCGGCGCGAAGAGGCCAAGGCAAACCGAGCGGATTTCGTGGGAGAGGGATAGTCGGCAGAGGAGATAGCGGCTGGGACAGCGCCGTCGACTGGGGGGTCAATGACGGACGTTGGTGATGTTGGTGTGGATTCGCGCGCCCTCTTGAGTGACTTGGTGCGAGTGGGATCTCCTCCAAGCGCGAAAACGTCTGATGCGACAGGCGTCGTCGCTGCCAGAAGAGGGGCTTCGGTCGCGATGGGACCGTTATCCGAGGCCATGGGCAGGCGAAAGCATCAAACGCGATAATTGTGCTTGTTATTATGGGAATGGAAGCTCCAATGCGACCGCGTCGTTGTTGATGATCAAGGACGATTCATAGGAGCTTCGAGTCGTTCAGCCACAGGTGGCGGTTCTTTTGGTGGACGGACTCAGGACCCCGAATTGACGGCACGAGCGGACAAGTCGCGGTGGAATGTGGCGGGAGCGACGACGGTTGAATTAAAATACGGCCGACGCAAGCAGGTTCAATAGCAAGTGCGCAAGGGGCCTTTTGGAGGATTGGAAAGGTGCGCAAAAGCCGTGGTGAGACTAGAACTGGTTGGTAAAGTTGACGTCGAGGAAGAGAGGAAAAGAGAAGTGAAGTCCAAGTGTGGCAGAGGCTGGAAGGAAAAGGGAAGGGTGGAGGGCGGGTGCTGGCAAGAAAGAGTAAGGCAAGGCAAAATGGTCAGAAAGTGAGTGAGAGGTGTGACGGCGTGTCTGCGAATGAGGGCGTGTTGGGGCTTGCGGTCTCTGCCACAACAGCAAGCGACGGCGGCGGCGGCAGACGGGGAGGTACGGACGCACACTGGGGCGGGCGGCACGCTAAGAGAGACACGAGGTACCCGCGTACTCTGTCCGCCTACCAATCTACCTAGCGCGGTAACCTACCTACCCACCTACCTACCTCACTACAGTGTATCTGGATTTCTTAGGTAAGACGCTGCAACTGCGACGGATAGACACCGGGACATAGGACGAAAGGGACGGGAATCTGGGGAGGGAAGGTTACATGCCTCGCCTTCTACCCACAAGTGGAACTCGAACTAAACCGTGAACCTCATGCTCGCCTATTGCCGCTATTGTCGTTGGCGTTGCTGGTTGGTGCATCTGCAATGGATCTTTGGAACACGCAAGATACGACTGCCTACCTACCTATTTTACATATACAGACAGTACAGATACTTGCGCATAGGGGGGATTCCCGTTGGAAGCTGGATGGCCAGGACGAGTATCTTGCTCTTACCGGAGGGTAGGTACCTGACAGAGTTGACCACCTACCTACGTGCCTACCTACTGGGGTTCGAGGATTGGTACTTGTGGCCGTGTGTGAGTGGCTGTACGCACGCGATACATCGCCCACCCATTACGACTCTTACCTGACCCCCCAGCAGTGGCTTCTCATCAGCCCCAAAGGAAGCGGAGGGAGCCACCCTGCTCAATAAACAACGGGCAGGCAGCCGAGCAACAGGTACCTAGAGCCGCACGCCCACCACAAGCAAGGGCACGGCACAGGCACAGGCACAGGCACGGTCGCCGCCGCACTCAACTCATACTCGCCGCACCTACTCTTGGCTGCTCCGGCATTCGGGTCAGGCCACGCTCTCCAAAGTAGCTAGGATTAGTTGAGTTACCCCGACACTTCCAGCGCCTTCGACTCCACAGCGATAGCGACAGCGACATTGGTCTTGAGAGCCGAGCAATCAGACGCGGAAGCTGAAGCAGAAGGAGCGCAAGGCCGCCACAGTTGAGGGCAGATGTGCCTTTTCGTGTGGCTCATGATGTCAACCAAGGCTACCGAGGACGAGATGGAAGAGCCAATGGCTGACAATGGTGGAATACGACGACGCCCTAGGACCCGGACGAGGGTCGAGGGGTTGATGGAAATGGAAGGGAGGAGACCTGAGGGAATGGAGCCTGGTTTTCCGAAGAAAGCAGGGACCCACGCCCTTTCAGCCCCCGCGGTGGCTGTGCTGAGAACACTGTGAGCAAGAGCATCCCCCAGCCTCTCCCATCTCTCTCTCTCTCTCTGTCTCCCTCCTCCTCGAGTTCTTCTCGCTGACGCACATGAGTGATGAGTGGTAGGATTCCCGATTCACGTCTCCGCTAGAACCTACCAGGGCCAGTCCCAAGCATCGCACATCCTTTAGAATTCTATTTGCACCTCGTAACCCGACGTGGCTTTGCATCCCGCTACTGTCATGCAAAGTACACAGTACTTGCTTCGTCCTCCAATGGCCGGTTTCTTTGGTACCTGGGTGTACTTAGATAAGTAGGTACTGTGTACGGAGTTAGTTACGGATTAGGTAGTACCTATGCGATGGAATGTATCGCTTCCCCTCACCCCCCCCCCCCCCCCCCCCCCCCCTTCCGCGGCAGCCCAGCAACGCACGTCGGCGGGACGGAGTACCGTCCGTCGCTGAGGACCAGCCGAGGAAGTTAAATGCTCTTCTATGAACCTTATCAGGAGCTCGCTCGTTGATGCGCTTGCTTTCGCGCCGTTTTTTAATTATGATTCGGGAAGCAGGAGACGACCTCCTTGGTTTGCACACTGTAGTAGACTTGCTTGTTGGTCTTCCTGCCGCCCCCCCGTGGTTACTTGCATCAGATAAACCCGGCTGGCTTCCACGTCGGTTCGTCCGGGCATGACGCTAATTGGAACGATACCACTCGAGGCTGATTCATTTTTCCAGTCGAACCATTCATTACCTAAATCGCTGTTGAATCTCACTTCGTCACATCTCCCCTCTCTGCATCGAAGCACGCCAACTAGCAGGTGGTGAGAACGAATAATTGCCTCGGCAGTGGTTCCGACTAATCTATCTTATGAGCAAGTGAGGCACGAGAATATAGGCAGGCAGGTAACAAGCGAAGGGCCTTATGAGGAACGGATAGATCGGCCCGTCTTTGTATGCCCGTGGCATCCTGGATTGCCGGATCTTGGACTTCTTTCAATAACGTGAGCCGTCACACTCCCAGCCTACGGATGACTTGACCAATATTGTTAGTGGACCGTTTATACGCAGGGCAGTCTTCATCATTCTTCCGAGTCCGCGTTTCCGAGCTTCATCAGGCAAGTGCGCGTTCATGCAAGGAGCAATGTCACTCTGCCAATTCGACCCGCAATCTTTAGCATCCGTCCTACGACAACCGCACTTTCATTATCAAGGGTGAAGCGAGCAGTGGTTTTTCGTCTTTCGGTCTTCAATGACGTCTCAACATACACAGATTCTTGGGCCTGTCGATCCATGCCGGACTCCAAGATTCTCGCGGCTGCTGCCCCTACAATACACTACCGTCATCCCCTTGCACGTTGTGGGCTTTCTCCCCACGCGAACAGCCATTCACTCGCCACGGCCTGGGGGAATGGACAAACGGACTTGCCGGGGGGTGGCTGCTTGAGCCAATGGAAGACTGGGATGGCCTCCGTCCCGTAACATACTGGTGCCGTCTTGGGTGGTGGGTGCCTCATATTTCAGCCTTTTTATTCAGCTCTAACCCAGCAACGAATCGCTACGGAACCAGGTCCGTCCCCATTCGGCCATCCATTCTCTAGCCTCCTCGGCTAGTGCCCATTTTGTAGCCCCTGGGATGGCGAGTCGCCTGAACTGGAATACTTCGTGCGACACTCCATTCGTTCACTGGCAGACGCTGACGATGCTACCCAAATGTGGCTGAACCACCCAAACAGGCACAGGAACGACGAACACAATGACTGGGGTGCGCGGAGTCTTTCCTACGGCTTGTGCGGAGTAGAGTCCCGCAGACCGATCCTACGATCATTCCCGGCCCATGAGATCATGCTGCTTCTCCCTTCCGTCACTCACACCTAGGCGCAAAATGACCTACCTCGACGTGTAAGGTCATTTTCGTGTCGTTCTTTATCCATCTCGATTACCGTGGTGAAGAACCTGGCCGCAATTTTATAAAAGACACCGACTAATGCTGACGCGGCGCCGATTAGTGTCATTCGGTGTTGGGGCACCTCGGGCCTGATTCGCGGCTTTCCGCTGTCGCTCTTCCCTCCTCAGCCTGGCTAGAAACGGGAAAGATATAGCAACAACTGACAGGACGGCGGCCCCCAGGTCGGTGCGTCAGCTGATCCACGGCCTAGGTAGCCACATCTCATTCCTTTCTCCAGCCTGTCAACATTCATTGGCCACTGCCACTTGCCGCCGATCCTTCTTTACTTCACGCAGGTCTACATGTTTCTGTGCTCACCTGAACTTTCCAAACTCGTACCCTCTTCCGCTCATCGTTATTAGCCAGTCTGGCTCGGTGGCGGGCAGACCTCGTAGCGGCGAACAATGAGAGCGAAGAGCATGCACCCTTCGATACACCTATCCAATGATGGCAAGCGAATAGTCTGCTGACCAAGCCTTATCGAGCCCTACCAGACTAGATTAGTCTTGTTTCTGCGCCTGTCAAGTGCAAGCCGGAGATTTTCCCTGAAGTGACGACATGGTAGTGCACAATAATTTTCTTCTTGATGGACAGGAGTTGATATGATATATCCATCATCGGCCAGTCATGCGCCCGAAATATATCACGTCTCATAAGCTGGGATACGGGCGCTTATATATCTATATCTGACAAGAGCAGACTTGGATCAATCCTTGTACCTTCCCGTAGGAATGACGGAGACACCTAGGCCAGGAGCCAGATGGTCGGAAAGGGCAAATTGCTCTGTGGGCACCCTTCACCAGGACCCAGACTCTATTTTTTCCAAACAGAATACAGAAGCACCTACTTCTCCTACCGACCGCCGCCGTTTGGCTAGTTGAACATTCTCAGTTTCAAGGCGTGTCCAAGGTTACCAAAGCGAGGACCATAGAGCCGGGGCTTTCTTGTCGCTCCCCTGGAGAACACTCATCTCGAGAAGACGATATGCGTCGACCGGGCGTTCCTTTGGGTATGGCTCGTCATCGGCTTGCTGGAGGAGAAGATCGAGGGCGGGGCGTCGCGCCGCGAGGTCGACGATATCCTCAGAACCCGCGATATCTACAACGTCTATGCGGAGCTCCTCGCCTCGAGGCCCGAGATATCGAAAGCGCAGAAGATGCTTAATCTGATTACCGCCGCGTCAAGCCGTTGACCGCGAAGGGGGTCAGCATAGCTCTCGCTGTGGTACCCCCGGGTGATTGAGTAGCTAGCAGCAAAGACTGCCAACGAAGGCCAAAAGATCAGGGAATTTGACGATTGATGATATGGAACATGAAGTAGTGTGCCCGTTCGAAAATCACTTGGAACCGCATCTGCGAACACTTCACGCGCATCATCAAGAATATAGGTGTATCTCGTTCACGCTAGCATTCCGCATCCACGGCAGTAGAGATAACACATTCAATGGTAAGTCCTCCTTGTGGTCCAAATATCACAAGTTTGCATTATTCTAGGTCGGCCGCTCAGTACAAGGCGGCGAGCGCATGCTGCTGTATCTTCTTATTAGGGTTCTCCAGATCATGCCATCGTGTATTTTTCGTCTACCTCATGTTTGGTGCTCGCGATGCCACGCTTTCGTTTCGTTTCCTGGTTTTGTGCGCTGTCAATCATCAAGTCATAAATCCCAATATCGTACAAGTACAATGCATTCCATATTCGTCAAGCTCCCTCTTCTCATGAAAGATCCACCTCCTTATTTGGAGTGGTACCGGCTTATTTGCGTCTTGCATAATTCGTGCTTTCGTGTCGGTAGGTTTAAACCACGAGCCCGGAGATGTAGTCGTCCGAGGCAATCATCGCGGTCTCGTAAAATAGATCTAGCTGTCTGTGGCAGATAGTATCAACTACTGGCTATCGGTGGATCCCCTAGCCTTGCGCCACCTCGCGCCGCGTTTGATCAGTGGGCATGGGCAACAATGGCCGCATAAGTGTCATCCGGTATTCTCTCTACAATCCAGAGAGTGCGCTCAATGACCTTATCGGCCTGCAGTGAAGGGAATGAGCGGAGCAGCTTGTTGGGGCTATTACATGGTCAGTATAGCACGACGACGACAAAAATTTGATGGGCATCCTTGCCTTGGGGAGCTCATCAACTGATCCCGCATGCCCATCAGCTGGGCCACAATACAAAGAATGTTTAGGTGTGGCCCGTAGGCGAAGAGAAAGTCCCACAAGCGAAGCACTTCGGGCAATGGCGGGGTGCAAGCGCACAAGGTCAGGACCGAGGGGAAGGCGTAGATCTCAGCCGTTAAGCCCTTGGAGTGGAGATAGCCGCTAAGCTTTGAGTCGACGGTTGCGAGAACCTTGTCGACCAAAGCCAGACCCTTATGCACACCGTCCATAGCGCCGCGTATGTAGCCGGGACACTCGCGTGTGAGCAGGGTATAGAAGGCGATGAAGGCCTCAGACTCGCTCCTTGCCGCGTATAGGAAAGGCGCGGCGAGGACGTTCATCCCTTGAACGTATGTCCCCGGCTCCCCTGCATGGCTGGTTTCGGAGCCTTCCGTTGTCAATGTCAGAGCTCTTGCTCGGTTCCTGGCGCTCGGCGACGAGGTCGGGTTCTGCGAGTGGGCGGTTGCTGTCGATGTCGAGCTGTCCTGCGATATAGAACTCCTGCCGGTGCTCGGCCGTTCTCTCCGCTGCTCCTCGCGCGAATCATGTAGACGCCATGCCACAGCATTGAGAAGGCGGATCAAACTGGCTTCGCTGACACGTCGTCTGAAGAGAGGATCGGTCGTGAGGGTGCGAAATGTGTCGTTACGAATCTTGGAATAGGCCGGAGAGGCACCGCGGTGGATGAGACCAAGGTAGTCGTCAGTTGGAAGGATGGGAGTGTCCAGCAGGATCAGCCAGACATAAATGCGCAAAGTTGACTGCGCGAGCCCGCGTTAGTTTAGTACACGAAAAGGTGCAAAAGGGGGGGCAAGGAGTGGAGGGGTGCTCTACCATGCCGTCGCTATCGCTTTTGATGCCCTCGCTCAGAACCTTGCGGCGAGCCATACCCAGGGCTTCGACAGTATCTCCGTTGGGCGGCCCTTCTTTTATGAGTTGCTGAAGGGACATGGTGGCATACTTGGGATTAATACCCATCATGCTACGCTTGCTGGAGGCCATGGCAGTCATGTGATGGGCCACCGGAGCCGGCGCATCGCTGTTGGATCGTCCTCGAGTGTGTCGAACCATTGTGGAAGAGGCACTCGGATCTCGGCGCGTCGGAGAAATATTCCGCTGCGTCAAGCGCTGTTGCGTAATCAATGAGGGCTGATGCTGGGGCTGCAGCTGGAGGGCGGCCTTGGAACCCAGGTTGTGCGCCGACTGCAGTTTACGGAGACGATGCGTTCGCGGGGAGGGCGGCGGGAGCAATTCGGTCGTCATGGCTTGAGATTGCCCAAAAGCGCGCGCCGGAGCGTCGAATGGGTCTATTGTTGGGCTCGACGACATCTTGGCGAGTGAGAAGGGGGAGGTCGACGGCTACGTTCACGTTGGGTCTGTGGAGGATTACAATCGATTATACGAAAATAAAAACAACAACGGCAGGGCAAGGCAAGGGGTCGAAAGACGACCAGAACGAGAGAGAGAGAGAGAGAAAGGGGAAGAAGAAAAAGGGGCCGACTGTAGGCGTAGCGAGGTGTCAAACACCTCGTGGGCTACTATTTTTGGCCCAGGGCGGGGGAAGAGGAGGTTGGTGATTCCGGTCTTGGTGGTGTCGATGGCAAGCATTGCAGGTGTTGGCGGCTTGGTGTTGCTTTCTGACTAAGGCGTACCTGTTGCCCGGGGAGCACTCGCGACTGCCAACCGCCGTGTTTTTTCGCGTTCCAGCGTTTGTCCTCTTGGCCATTCGGTGCACTTCCACCGCCGACTGGGCCAATACACTCGTTTGTCAGCTTTAATGGCCACTCATTCATTCGGCGTTCTTCAAGTCTAAGGTGTGAGAGCCCAAGTCTTGCTGGCTAAAGGCTGAACGAACAGGATTCCAAGCAACACCTTGTTCTTGGCGGCAAGTATTAAGCCCGGATTAATCAAGACTATAATAACCGATAATACTACGGAGTACCAATACTTTGTTAGGAGGTGCCAATGACGAAAAATACGCAATCCATAGGGATTATTAACAAATCGGTTGTTCGGCGAATATGGATGGAGGTGGGCAATCCGTTCATGCCTGGATGCGAATTCACTTGCTGCGCCATAGTTCGTTTTGGACAAAGCTTTTAGCCACAAGCCAAGATGCAAGCCACACAAACCCGATAAGATTGCACGTTCCATACTCCGGACCACAGATATTCCGCATCGGGACTGAAACTCCATGCAACGAGGGGAAATATTATGTCAGCGCATGTCGCAACTTTGTCGTCACGGGTGCCACAGTGTATCTGGGTGTTGGACGCCTACTACGTAAGCTGAAAGCTGAGCCTACCCACCTAGGTAGGTAGGCGGGGTTTCGTACAGGTACGCAGTAGGTATGACGTTGGACGACCCGTAACCGCACCCGCTCAACGGATCCCGTTAGCAACCGCGTATGTTTTTAACTGGAATAGTGTACGGATACAGCCAATCTGGTTTGCTTGCCCAATGGCCATCACAGGCTGCAACACTGCGCCCCCGCGGAGT